GGGGGGGGGGGGGGGGGTCACGCTTTTCAGAGAGAGAGACTGTGGAGAATCTCTCTCAAAACGGGGTTGTGTAAGTTTGAAACTCAGAAGGGAGCGTGTGTGGGGCTCGTTGAATACTTTTGTGAAAGGGAGAGAGAGAGGCTTTTGTCAGGCAGGGGAATCACGTTATTCGGGAGCGGTGGGATTGTGGGATTCGGAGCACAGATCAGGCGTGACTTTATGGAATTGGTGAAGCCAGCTGAAGGGTTTGAATGGCTATTCCTGCCCCATGTCTGTGTGTGCCTCATTGCTGTGAAGGTGGTTGGTACTCCGAGATTCTTTGTGTCTGAGTTTATCTTTGAATAAGGCAGACCCAGCAGACAAGACTTGTTACAGAGCTGCAGCTGCAAGGCTGGGTCAGCTCAGGCTCTTTTGGAGTTGGTGGTAGGGGGGAAGCAGAGGGCTAAAGCCAGACCTACACCAGTGGGGAAGGGCCAAGATCCCCCTGTGACACAGGCCTTTGGGAGCTGGGATTCTGTCATTCTCAGACAAAGGAGGAAAGAGGCAGGTGGTTTAGCTGGAAGCCACAGGGAGTGACGTAAATCTGTCACAGAGGCTGGTTAACCTTGTTGGAATTTATGCTCTTCCAGTCTGCAGTTCACTGCAGCGAGAGGTGAATTCAACTTGTGAAGAGTAGTCACCACAGTCTCTCTCTCTCTCTCTTCCCCCCCTCCTCCCTCTGTCTGCCCCTGCCCTCCCCTCCCCATCCCCTCCTTTTTCTGTATTCCCCTCACTCCCTCCATCACACCTGTTCTCTTCCTCCACTGTTTCATTGTGTGTATCACCTTCCCACCATTCCTTGTGGCCCCTCTCTGTCTCTCCTCCCCTTGCTGTTTCTCCTGCTCCCTGCTGCTGCTCCTCTCGTCCACTTCTCTTGGTTTTCTCTCCCTCGCCCTCTCCTTGCTTCCTGCCCGTCTTTCTCTCTTCTTTCGGCTGTCTCTCACCACTCCCTCTCCCTCCACTCTCACTTTTCCCTTTCCTCCCCCTTCCCATCCCTCTCACTTAATGCTCTTTCCCTCCACTCCCCATGTCACCTGGCTCCTCCTGTCTCTCTCGCTCTCTTTCTTTCCCCCCCCCCTCTGTCTCTCTCTCTCCCCTCCCCGTCTCTCTCTCTCCCCTGTCCATCTCTCTGTCTGTCTCTCTCCCGCAATCCCAAACTCTGTCACCCTTGCCCTTACACCCCTCCACCGTTCTCTCTCTGTCTCTCTCCACCATCACTCTGTCTCCCCGACTTGTACCTGCTTTTGTGTCTCTCTCTGTCTCTTTCATTCCACCCCCATATCTGACCCTCTCTGTCTCCCTGCTTCTGTCTCTTTTCTCCATCCCTGCCTTTGCCTGTCCACCCCACCAACCCCTCTGTCTCTCCCTCTCTCCCTCCCCCCTGCCTGTCCCGTTGGTGTCCCCTCCTTTCTCAGGTGTCAGTGCAATGGACACTGGGATAGATGCCGGGTGACCGATGGTACTGAGTGCCAGTGTCAGAACAACACAGAGACCAGCTGCCCCACAGCTCAGACCGACAAGAGGGACTGCTACAAATACCAGGTGGGTGTGACAGAGAGCCTGCGCCCCCCCCCCACTCCCTTGCCCTAGGCCACTCCCTCCTCCCTCACTCCTTATTCACTGACCCCTCCTTTCCTGCCCGCAGTGTGCCCGCTGCAAGGAGAACTTCCTGGGGAACCCGACCAATGGGCGGCAGTGCTACAGGCAGATCACTGTGGAGCAGGAGTACTGCTTCGACCCGACCTCGCAGAGCAACTGCTACCACGAGCCCAACATCAAGAACCTGCCGCTGGGGCGCAGCGTTCTGTTTGCTGTGCAGCCCAAATTCACCAATGTGGACATTCGTATCACCATCGACGTCACCTTCGGCGGCGTCGATGTCTACGTCTCGAACTCGCACTCGGCCTTCACGGTGAGCGTGGACCCGCGAACTGGCTTCCACCGGGTGCAGGTGGGTGACCCCGAGGCGCGGAGGGAGGCCCCCGGACTGAGGCGGAAGCGGTCGGCAGCCTACAACGCCAGCGCGGTGCTGCCCGAGGGCCCGGAGCGGGTGAGGGAGGAGCAGGCGGAGGGTCTCACCACCTACGTGACGGTGGGAAGCCGGCACACGGTGCTCGTGGTACGGGCGGTGAGGGAAAGGCTGGTGGTCACCTACCCATACGAGCTGCACGCCCTCAAGACCCAGCGCTTCTTCATGGTGCTCCTGGGCGTGGGCAACGGGGAGACAGGTGAATCCCAGGGCCTACTCTTCTTCCGGCAGGACCAGGCCCACATCGACCTCTTTGTCTTCTTCAGCGTCTTCTTCTCCTGCTTCTTCCTGTTCCTCTCGGTCTGCGTCCTCCTCTGGAAGCTCAAGCAGTTTGTCAACTTCCAGCAGGAACACCGGCGCCACATCCAGGAGATGAACAAGATGGCGAGCCGCCCCTTTGCCCACTTGGCCGTCTACCTGGAGCCTGACCCCGAGCTGCTCCTCCTGCCCCTCCGCCACCAGCTGGGGCCCAGGCTGAAGTCCAACAGGTGTGAGGGTGGCCTCCTGCCCCAGATCCTCGGCCTGGCCCAGCCCGGCTTCCGGGTGGGGCCCATCACCCTGGAGCCCACCGATGATGGCATGGCCGCTGTAGCCACCCTCATGTGCCAGCTCCCCGGAGGCCCACTGGCCCCTAACCGGGCCTGCCTGGGCTCGGCACTGGTCACCATCCGGCACAACCTGCAGGAATACTGCAGCTCAGTCCACGGGCCTAGTAACTCCAGGAAGGCCGGGGGAGGGGGCGTCAGCCATGATAACCTCACCAGCATGTCCATGTGAGCCATCACCGCGAGGGGAGGGATTAGGCACTGTGAGTGAGGGGAGGGCTGGGATAGGGGTAAGGGGAGTGGTCATCGTGAGGGGGAGATGGTGGGGTAGGGGTATGGGGCGACCGCGGGGGGGGGGGGGGCGGGGATAGGGGTGAGGGAGTTAGCCACTGTGAGGTGGGGGCGGTCTGGGCTAGAGGTAAGGGGATTGGCCATCGTGAGGGGAAGGGGCTGGGGTAAGGGTGTTGGCCACTGTGAGGGGGAGACGGTGGGGCAGGGGTAAGGG